AACAATGTTTATAATGTTGATATATAGAGACAATCCTTTTAAGTTATTTTATTCTTTTGATCTTCTAATTTATTTTATCACTAATTGTGATGCATTTTACTTTTTATTTTGATGTAAATATGATTAGAATTAGGATTATGATTTTCATTGTAATTTTTTATTTATGAATAGTTTTATAAATAATTTTGTGAAGTGCATGTGAACATATCTACATGTTATTTATGCACTATAAATTAAAGTACCATTATTATTATTATTATTATTATTATTTTGAGGAATAGCTTTTCATCTTATGTCATTGCTACTGGCTCTTTTATTCATTCACTTTGACAGGAAGATCAATTGCCTAGTGTCCTCCTCGTGCTCGAACAAAACAAAAGTTTAAGGGAGGGGGCGCAGGACAGGGGTAGGGATTTTGATTTTTCACAAAAAAAAATTTTGACTGTCATTGGACCAACCAAAAGTCTACCAGGTTAAGAACATGGTGACTGAAATGGACAGAGTGTTGTTTGGCATATCAGTGGAGTGTCAATCGACATTGCAGTTGAATATTGGCTGATATGCAGACTGACTAGAGCTCAGCCGATACTGTGTTGACCGATACTTGGCCAACAGGTGATCCAAATTTCTGAGAGTGTCATGTATGGAAGAAACCTATTTTGGCAGGAACGTGTGTTTAACTTAAAGTAAACCACTCCAAATGTAAACTGGGCTTTCTTCTATTACACATCACTACCGCACCAGTCATAACAGATCTAAAGATATGCATTAACAAAGAACAAAGACTTACATACAGCAATTACCTCAGGCTTGCCAACTTCCAAGACAGGGAAAATTTAGAGGCAGTCTCACTCACAAAAACCTGGAGATTATGTAAAAAAACTGGACATTGTTATCATTATTTAATAATCTTCATCAGCGTCTTTTCCTACTTTATGCGTCACCAATTGTTTCTTCTCTAATGGAAAAATTGGGGTGGATACAGGATTTTAGATAAGGGGGTTCCAGA